TTTCCAATTTAAATAATTTCCCGATCATGGTCTAAGACTCTACTAGACCTAAGAAATAAAATTGGGGGATCTACATATACATATTTGGCATATCAAAACCATTACACTTTATTCCTAACAATATCAACACCCGATCATGCGAAATCCCACCCAATTATATCAAGAATATCACAATACGAAATCCCCAATTCAACCTAGGGCTCTAATCATGTTTAAATCATCAAAATCATAGTTCATATTTTAACATCAAGAACCTTCAAGATTCATCAAGAACCTTCTATCATCATCAAGATCATCAAGATCACACATAAATTCATCCCATCAATCATCAAGATCATATCATCAACATCATAAACGATTCATCAAGACACAAGTGTAGAGAGGAAGCCAAAGAAGATAATTATAGCAAGGAAAATAGGTTTTGTTGAGACATGGGTTACCTCTTAGCCTTAATTAATTTCCTTGGCTATGAAGGGTCTTTCTTTAAGATTCCTTCTTTCTTGATTTCTCCTAGGGGGATTCTTGGAACTTCTTGTGTGGTGAGAGATTATTGTGGTGTGGGTTCTAGGTGTCTCCTATGCCCCCTATTTATATACTTAAGGGTCCTAATTAGGGCTAGTTCTATTCCCTATAGGACTAAGGGGTTGGTTATAGGGATGTGGGCACATGGACTATGGTGGGCCTTTCTTAATTAATTAGTTAATGAGATTTATTTCTTCTTTTCCGGGTAAATAGTTAATTGGTTCATGGGCCGTAACATGGGGTGTTACAGTGCTAACCAACGAACGTGTAACCATGAGTTCCAAAAGGTGACATCTCGAGAGGTTTGGGAACCTGTAAAGGCCTTGGCAGCTTGTTCAACTTGGAGTTTAATCCATGCAACTTTGAAGTTGGCGGGTTTTTCCAGATTATTAAAGATCCTATCGTTTCTCCACCTCCATATCCACCATAGGGTGATAGCAAAAAGAGCTCCTTCATTGTAGGGGTGGTTGGTAGTGTGGTTGCCTTTGATGCCCGACTGAAGCCATTCGTTAAAGGGGAGGTGTGAGTTTGCTGAGAGAGTTGGAAGGATTCGCTTCAAAACCTCGACTGTTGCTGGGCAATTGCGTAGTACATGCTGGACGTCTTCCACTTCGGTCACGCATAGGGAGCATTTGTCGCAGCTTGCGATGCCTCGCTTGACTCTGTTACTATTGGTGAGTATTTTACCATGAATCACCAACCAGATGAACGTGCAAACTTTGTTTGGAACCTTTAATTTCCATAAGTTGTTCCATTTGGCAGCTTGGACCTTGTCTGTTAAGCCTAAAGCCACGTCATATTCCGTGTTGACAGAAAGATTCCCTGTTAGTTCATATTTCCAACCAAAGGTGTCGTTATCCTCATCTTCATTTGTTATGACTATGGCGGACAGTCTCTCCAAACTTTCAACCGGTAAAAGGTTATCTAGTTGATCTATTAGCCAGCCATGGTTGGGGTCCCAGTAGCTAGCGACGGACCTATACAGCTCAGGGAGGGGTAGTGCCTCAGACAAGTGTATTCTTAGTGGGAGATCCTCCAACCATTTATCAAGCCAGAATACAGTGTTTTTGTCGTTTCTGACAACCCTCTTGATTCCATTCTGGATTATATGACGGGAGCCAAGGATACCTTTCCAGGTGTGTGACATGTTTTTCTTTGGTTGCCACAGATCGCAGTTAGCAGTCGAGACAGAGTACTTGGATTTAAGTAAACGCACCCATAGACTATCTTCATCCTGGAGGATCCTCCAACCGAGCTTTGCTAGGAAGGCTTAGTTCATATACCTTAGCTTACGAATGCCAAGCCCGCCTCTTTGCTTGCTTAGAGTAACTGTATCCCAATTCACCAGATGAACTTTTCTTGAGCCTTCCAAGCTTCCCCACAAAAAGCAACGAATCTGTCTCTCAATGGCGTCGAGGATTCCAACTGGAATAGGCAATGTTTGCATGGAGTAGTAAGGTATCGTGGACAAAACGGATTGGGCTAGCGTGTGGCGACCAGCGAAGGATAGAGTTTTGGACCTCCAGCCTGTTAGTCTGGTCTGGATTCTCTCCAAAATGCCGGAAAAGGATTGCTTCTTCAGTCTGCCTTGAATCGATGGCATCCCCAAGTATTTTCCAGGGTCCTCCACTTTAGAGAAGCCGATCGTGTTTGTGATGGAATCTTGAATATCAGGGGGAGTATTTTTTGAGAAAAACACGGAAGATTTCTAGAGGTTGATCTTCTGGCCAGAGATGGAGCAGAATCCGTCCAAGCATGCCTTCATCTCGGTTGCTTGATCAATCGTAGCTATACCGAATATGACCATATCATCCGCGAAGAAGAGATGGGTTATGTGGGGGGTTATCCGTTGCAAGCTTGACACCATTCCAGCTACCTGAGTTAATAGAAGAACTAATATGATGACTAAGTTTTTCAGTACATAGAGCAAATAGGAGAGGTGATATGGTATCTCCCTGACGAATTCCTTTCCCGGGATGGAACCAATCCGAGTGTACTCCATTGTAGTTAATGGCCAATCTTGTGGTAGTCACGCACGACATGATATTCCTCTTCCGTTGGTGGTTGAAGCCGATATCCTGGAGTATCCTTTCAATCAAATCCCATGCAAGCCTGTCGTAGGCTTTCTCTAAATCCACTTTGAGCATCATCCAACCCAACGAGCCCTTCTTGTACTTCATTGAATTAAGGATTTCTTGGTAAACGATGATATTGTCGGTAATTTATCTTTCCGGAACGAAGCTAGTTTGGTGTGGTCCTATAAGTTTCCTGGAAGCTGATTTTAGCCGGTTTGCCATTGCATTGGTTATGAGTTTGTAAGATACATTGCAGAGACCAATAGGCCGCAAGTGCTTGACAGAATCCGGATTTGGTATTTTGGGTATGAGAGTTACCAGTGTGTCATTGCATGAATTGGGCAGCATACCATCTTCAAGAAAATTTAAGACAAAGCTTGTTAAGCAATCACCAGTGATGTTCCAAGTTTTCTGGTAAAATCCTGCCGTGTAGCCGTCTGGACCAGGTGCCTTGTTTGGTGACATCTCGAATAACGCCTGCTTGACTTCTTCCCTCGAGAATGGAGCATTGATCTTTAGCCAATCCTCCTCGCATAATTGTGGGAACCCGCCTTGCATGGCTTCTTGGGGTGCAGCTGTGTCCTCCCTGCTAAACAAAGTGACAAAGTGATTATAAATGTACTCTCTTATTTGATTTTCAGAGGTAAGTTGTTGTCCTCCCTCAATCTTCAAGCATTTGATCGAAGTGTGTATCCCCTTTGTTGCCGTGGCTACTTGATAGTAGCGTGTGTTGCGGTCTCCGGATTGGATCCACTCTTCTCTAGATCGTTGGTACCAAATAAGTTCTTCTTGGTGCAATACATCTTCAAGTTCAGAGCGCAGCTTTCTATCTAGTTTCAGCAGATCCATTCTTGGACTGATTGCCAGAGATCTTTGCACACCATTAATCCTGGCCAATAATCTTTTTTTCCTATGGAACACATTACCAAAGATAGATTTGTTCCAAGTAGATAGGGAGTCAGCCAGACTGGCTTCGTTCGAATCAAGATCGCCCTTTTTATCCCAGGTCTGGTTCATCACTTCGTGGAACTTGGGGTGTGTGGACCAGGCGAGGTTGAATCTAAAGGGTTTAACAGAAGACCGGGAAGGTAGAGAGTTAGATTTTACCAATAGTGGAGTGTGGTCGGCGCCCACCATCGATAGATGTTCTGCTAGGGTGTTTGGGAACTTGATTGTCCATTCCACGTTGCCAAGGGCTCTATCAAGCCTCGCGCCTTTGAAAGTTGCAGTATCTAAGCCTCGCATCCAAGTAAACTTAGAGCCAGAGAAGCCTAAATCAATTAGGCCTTCTCTGAATACCCAATCATTGAAGTCATTACAACGACTCAAGGAAACATTATTTGGGTTACTAACTTCATCAGAGTTTAATATAGAATTGAAGTCTCCTACCACAAGCCACGGGGTGTGAGGCAGAAGGGAATCAGACGAGAGATCAGTGAATAGAAACCTTCGTAGCTGGATATTGGGGCTGCCGTAAACTACTGAAAGCAGATAGTGATCCAATTGTGGACATTTCACTTCTAATGTTATGAATTGAGGGTGCGTATCTATAACCATAATTCCAACTGAGCTTCTCCAAAATATCCAAATACCTCCAGAGAACCCCACAGCTTCCACTCTTACCCATTCATCAAAACCAAAGGTAAAACATATCTTGTTAGCATGATCACCTGATACTTTTGGTTCTAACAGACAAACGATAGACGGATTATGTAAACGAATGAACTGATTAAGGGTGCGACGAAAAATTTTCGAGGCTGCCCCTTGACAATTCCAAATTAAGCAATTCATTAAAAATATAAAACAAGGGAAAGGTAACGCTTAAGAGTGCATGGGATTAGAGGGCAAGAGGCCACTAGGGCCAGCCATATTCATGGCCACAACTGGAGTTCCAACCTGATTAGTGGATGATGAGGGAATGTCCGGGGGATCATTCCTGGGAGCAACGTCATTCTCACGTAGGGGCGGGAATTCTTGGCGGTCCTCGACATGGTAGACCACTGTGCTGGTGGTTTGACGTCCTTGAAGTGAGCCACGGACGACAGTGTGTTGTGCTTCCGCCGCGGCTCTTCTAGGTGTCATACCTCTTCCACCCCTTCCTCTAAGAGCCCCACGTTGTGCTACTGCCTGGTGGGTGTGCGGAAGCCTCTGTGATTCTTCCCTCTGTAAGTTGTAACTTGGATTCTGGTTATGAGTTGTTGGTCTCTTCTCGGCCTGCCGCGACGTTCTGATCGCCTGTAGGGACATACCAGGAGGAGGAGCGACTGATGTGGGGTGGTACCCTCCATCCAAGGGGTCTCTGCCATCTTCAAGATCGGCAAGGACTGCGAAGCCTGTTTGGTCCTGGATATTCTGTACGTTTTCGCCGGTAGTGGGATGAGTCGGTTGTCTTCTGGGAAATTGTCAATTGTCACCCCTTCTCGGGCCTCTCCTGTCTCTCCTAGAAACTAACATCCATGAGCCATAGTCTGCAGAATAGTCTTGTTTAGGAGGTTCGTGTTGATTAGGGGGGGCATTTGTGGTTTCAGCTGAGATGCGATCCCCTTGTTCCTGATTGATATTTGTAACTGGTGCTTCCTGACTGCCTTGATCGTTGTTCTTTCCACATTGGTTTTGCCTGTGGCCATAGAGGCCACAATTAAAACAGACAAGATGCAAACCTTCATACTCCACCGGCCATACTTCTTCTTGCAATGTGAATTTAGAGAGCAGAGGTTTTGAGATGTCCAACTCGACGCACACTCTTGCAAAGCTACCTTTGGATATAAGGCTGGTTGTGGAATCAATTTTGATAGGCCTACCAATCTTCCTAGCAATCTTTCTCAAGAATCTCTCTTCAAAGTACTCTACGGGAAGATCAGGAAACCTTACCCATGCTAGCAGCTTCTCTGTCTTGTTGTTTCTTGGGCTGAAGTCAGGCACCCATTCTTGTACAATTACATAGTGATCCAAGATGCTCCACGGACCTTCAAACTTGGCAAACTCGTAGTCCCTTAAAGATTCGAACCTGACAATGTAATGTTCGTAGTTCAGCGTGATGAGCTCGAAGTTGGCCTCTGGTCTCCACATTTTCTGTAGACGCTGCATCAGGTAGGAGTAGCCCACTTTGATGCCCAAAACTCTTATGATGAGTGACCGACGCCAAGGTTTGCGGATTCTCTCCTTTACCTCGTCTGAAAGAAATATGATGGGGTTGTTTGTGATAACACTGGTTTCTTCCATATCAGCATCCTCCTGGGATTCGTCATCTAACAGAGAATCGGGCACGACGGTCTAAGACCAGGTGCAATTGGGTGTATCTGATGGGGTTTTCCACTGCCCAGAATCTGGAGACATCAGTTCATCCGGACGTTGCCTTTCATGTTCGCCTTCCACCCCCATTGATGGCACAGGTGAATCAAGCGAGTCTCTTCCTCTCTTATGTTTCTTGGTGTTACGTTCGTCCATGCCATGTGCCGCTGGTGACTGAGCAGTCGCCGTTGGCCGAGTATGATCGGAAAGTGTTTCAAAGACGGTCTCCATTCTTGGAGTGCTCGTCCATCCTTACTCTATGACATAATGCGGGGTAATGAATTAATTGATCAAGATGAAAACAAACAAAAAGTTCACACTATATAACATTCAACGAAATCACTATAAAAGCGTCCCACTAAGATTTGAACTTGAGTTACTAGATTCAAAGTCCAATGTCTTAACCACTTGAACAAGGACCACTCTGATGATCAAGATAATCCAATGAACACATTTCTTTTCAAACAAAACAAATAAAAATTTGAAGGTACATTTCAAAATGGAAGCACTAAAGGTCCCACCGAGACTTAAACTCAGGTTACTGGATTCAGAGTCCAATGTCCTAACCACTAAACCATAGGACCTTCCTGTTAATCAAAAAATCTCTTAATTCCTCAATACTTGTACATACCCTTTGCAATCTTGCCTTTCAAACGGAAATATAATCCAAATAGTCCAATATCTCACATATTGAAAAAATTGAAAATACTATTCATTTGCACCTTCTTTTTCAACTTTTGCAAACATTGTGTACTTCTTTTATTTTAATAATAATAATAATAATAATAATAATAATAATATTATTATTATTATTATTATTATTATTATATTTTGATCTCCAAAAAAAAAAAATTATTATTATATTTTGAAAGTAAGTTGAAATTTTAGGAATGTCGAGAAAATAGTAGTGAATTGCAAATATGTTGTTATGACAGTAGAATTTGCTTGTGAAAGTGAGAGAATTGCAAAGATAAAGATAATTTTATATCCCTATGTTAGTAATAGAGGGAGTGAAAGCATAATTTTCCATATTCTAAACCTACTCAATAAGAAGGTGTTTGGTCTTCACCAAAAAAAAAAAAAAGAAGGTGTTTGGTCTTCACCAAAAAAAAAAATAATAATAAGAAGGTGTTTGGTAGGCTAAAAGTTCAAATTTTCCTAGCAATTTAAAGACTCCCTGAAAATTTGAATTGAATACCACCAAATTTTTAAAGTTCATAAAAGTCTATGGAAATTAGGATCGAATACATTTGCATATTTATAGACAAAATATTTTTAAAAAAAATTAAATAATCAACAATCATATAAATATGAGCATTCATCGCTTTGTATGTCATCTCAGATAGTGATTGCAATTTTTCTTAATCACCTAAAAGAAAATAAGTGTTTCATGTGCAGATAGACTCCCTGCCTACAACAACATAGTAATCTTCGCATTTACTAATGGGGGTGTTTGGTAAATAGCTGTTAGCTGATTGGGTTGGTGAGTTTGATTAGTTGATAACATTAACTGACTGTAAAACGATGTTTGGTAAATTAACCGATAGTTGATAGATGATTACATGCAAAATAACTTTCTCAAAAAGCTTATCGAAAAAGATGCTATGAGCAGCTTTTTGAATTTTAGCTTTTTGGAGCAATAAGCTGTTACAAAAAGCTAATTAATTAAACACCTATATTTGTTGTTTAACCAAGTCAAACAACTAATAGTGGTCAAATAAGTCAAAATTGAGTGAAAAGATAACTATGTTACCAAACAGGGCCTGTGAAGAATTTTGGTGGCGACTGGAAAGCTAAATATAGTACAACAATTGAAAGTAACGTTCATAATACCTGCAATACATTTGGGTGAAAGGTGTATGTGAACAGAAAGTATCAAAAAAAAAAAAAAAAAAAAAAAAAAAAAAAACAGTCTTCTAGTTTACATTCAATTCAAGTTAAGGAAATCAACAAGTTGATGCAATGGCCTCCAGCAATGCTGCTACAAAGTTTTATGACCTTTTTCTTTTGGAAGCCAAAGTGAATGGTAATATACATAGTTGCATACAAACCGGGCTGCGTCATCTGAAATGGTCACCTCATAGCGTTTCTTATTTAACAACTTTAGTATTACCTCGTCAGAGCAAGATGTTTGGCAGCCAAAAGATGAAATGAGAAGTAAGACTATAGGGGGGGTGAGATAAGTGAAGTAAAATTCAATGAAAATGGTCTCTCTTCAAATGAGAAGCCTATGAAACTTCCTTGTATGAAACCAAAAGTTCAAGAGACAAGGGTGTTGGACCTGGTCCTTCAGGCGAGCCAAACTTGTGGCTAAGATGGGGACTGAGTTTAAGGTGCGTGATATGGGGTCTCCACAATGGCGCTATAATGGAGACATTTTGAAATGGGTTAGTATGGTGGATTGTAAGCCTTTGGCTACTCCGGTTTCTTTAGCTCGTTGTTCTGATGATGAGTCTGTGACACCGTATGCTAATCCGACCCAATATCGCAGTCTTGTTGGCGCTCTGCAGTACCTTACAGTAACTCGTCCTGATTTGTCTTTTGCCATTAGTAAGCTCTATTAGTTTATGCATGCGCCTACTACTACTCACAAGGATATGCTTAAGCGGGTTCTTCCATATGTCAAGGATACATTACACTATGGTCTGCATATTCATGAATCTATATCTGTTGACATTCATGCCTTATCGGACTCTGACAGGGCTGGGAACCCGGTTGATCGGAAATCGACGAGTGGCTTTGCAGTGTTTTTAGGCAATAATCTGGTGTCTTGGGTTTGCCGCAAGCAGCGCACGGTAGCACGTTCTTCTACTGAGGCTGAGTATAAAGCTCTAGCGGATATATCTAGCGAGGTCACGCGGCTGGTGTCTTTGCTTAAGGAACTTGGTCTACCTCCTTCTACTCTGCCCAAGTTGTGGTGTGACAACTTGGGTTCTATGTATCTGTGTGCTAATCCAGTCTTTCATGCCCGCACGAAGCATGTGGAGATTGATTACCACTTTGTTCGGGACAAGGTTGGGAAAAAGGAGATTCTTGTTCATTTTATCTCAACAAAGGATCAGTTAGCGAATATTTTTACCAAAGCACTAACGGGGACGCGCTTTGCCTTTCTTCGGTCCAAGCTCAATGTTGTGCCTCACCAACCTTGTTCTTGAGGGGAGAGTATTAGGACTCCACTAGTTGTATTGTACTAGGACTTGTTCTTTATGTTATATGTATATTATGTACGCTCTGAGATATTAAATACGAATTATCTATTCCTCATCTTTATGTTTTCTCAGCTATATAATTATGTGCATTATGAACATGAATTATGTACTTTATGAAGTCAAATTTTGTATATTGGACCAGGGTCCATAGTGCACTGTTGACCCTGGTCCACGATATAAATTACCTTCGCTAAGGCCAGGCATGCCTTTGCGCCAGAGATTCAATTCCTTAATAAGGATGCGCAACAAAATTAAAACAAAGCATTAAAAAAGTGGTTAGAACCAGCAGTTCTAACCGGAACCGCCGATTCATGAATCGGAACAGGAACCTTAGGGGGTGTATTCAATCAAGACTTTTAATGACTTTCAAAGACTTTTACATCACGTTCGGTTCACAAAATTCATTTGGAGGGAATAGGGTTTGGTATTCAATTTTAAAGACCCTTTAAAAGTCTACCAGTATTCGATTTTTTTTTTAAAAGTATATTGGTATTCGATTCAGACTTTTATAGTCATTAAAAGTCTACTGGTATTCAAAAACTTATTAACTTTCATAGACTCTATCAAAATAGGATTTCTGTAGACTTTTTCTTCATTAATATAAATAGATGAAATACAACCCTCCAACTCCAAATAGGAGTAGGAGCATTTGAAAAATATATTGGCTTAACACATAAACTAAAGTACTAAGGTAGTATACTACTCTGTAGTATATTAAAACTAAATAAAATAAATTGTATTTAAATGAGTTTGTTCGTGAACAATCTTAAACGAACACTAAATGAGCATGTTCGTGAACGTTATCAAACGAACACTATACGAGATTGTTCATGAACATTATTAAACGAACACTAACGAGCTTATTCACAAGCTCATAGCAAATGAGCCTAAAAATGTCCAAACTTTATTCGTTTACTAAACAACCTTTAAAATTTATTAATGAGAAAATTTCAATTTTGGTCCTATAACTATAAGGGCTTTGTTAATTTCAGCACTTTACTTTCAAAACTGTCAATTTAGTACCTTGAGTATGTAATTTTTGTCAATTTTGGTCACTCCGGCCAAATTGCCGTCTAAATTTCGCTAAAAAATTTTAATAGGTAAAATAATGAGGGTATTTTAGTCATTTTACCATTTTTCCTTTCTTCTCGACCAAAGAGAGGGATTAACGTAACAAGACCGCGGTGAGGACGGGGGCCACGGTGATGACGACATCTCTTTCTTCTCCGACGAGTGGAATAGCATTGGCCGGCTGCACGGAGTCCGCCGAACACCTCCGTGGTCCTTGGAGTGCGCCGGTGCTAATATCATCGACCTGCCGGCCACCTCGTACTTCTTTGGTTGCCTGGTCGGCGAACTCGCGCTCTCCACGTTTGCCGACACCTCCATTAGCTGGAAGAAAATGCTAGAATGGCTGCAGAACCTTCGATTTGGTCCTCCACGATGGTTCCCCCAACGTCGGTGGTGCCCGGTCAAAGGAGCCTACCAATCAAAATGTTTTGGTCATTGATTCCGTTAAGCTCACAAAAGTGGCATTTAGATTTGTTTTGGTTTTAAAAGTGGCCTTGAGCCGCTTCGCCTGTACTTTCGAAGCCGGGAAATCTCGCCGGAAACAACTGAAACATGGTAGACTCGTCGGAGAAGAAGAAAAGAGATGTGAAATGACTAAAATACCCTCATTATTTCAACTATTAAAATTTTCTGGCGAAATTTGGCCGGCAA